GTTTGCAACTGCTAGTCTCAAACTCCCAGTCCAACCCTCCCCCGCCACCCCTCTCCCTTGGCAACCACAAGTCTGTCCTCTGCATCTGTGAATCTGCTTTGTAGGTAAGTTCATCTGTGTCATATTTTAGATGCCACATGTAAGTGATGTCATATGGTATTTGTCTTTCTCTTTCTGACTTACTCTGCTTAGTATGATAATCTCTAGGTCCATCCATGTTGCTGCAAAGGCATTTTTTCACTCTTTTTTAGGGCTTAGTAATATTTCATTGTATATATGTACCACAGCTTCTTTATCCATTCATCTGTGGATGGACACTTAGGTTGCTTCCATGTATTGATTATTGCAAACAGTGCTGCTATGAACATAGGGGTGCATGTATCTTTTTGAATTATAGTTTTGTCCAGATACATGCCCAGGAGTGGGATTGCTGGATCATATGGCAACTCTGTTTTTAGTTTTTTGAGGAACCTCCATACGGTTCTCCATAGTGACTGCACCAATTTACATTCCCACCAACAGTGTAGGAGGGTTCAAATAGGGATTAAGTATTAATAGAAAAAAATTCAGCTGAGAAGGACAACTTTTTGTTGAGGATTTTTACATCAATGTTCACGAGGAACGTTAATCTATAGTTTTTGTTTCTTGTAATGTTGTTGACATTGAGGCAATGCTGACCTCATGAGTTGAGAGTACTCCCTCCTCCTCTACTTTAAGAAAAAGTTTGTGTAAACTTGGTATTACTTATTCCTTAAATGTTTGGCAGAACTCTCCAGTGAAGCTACCTGAGTTCTCTTTAATAAAAGTTTTTAAACTATGGATTCAATTTCTTCAATTAACATAGGGCTATTCTAATTATATATTTCTTCTTGAATGAGCTTTGATAATTTGTATCTTTCAAGAAATTTCTCGAACTTCCCTGGTGGCGCAGTGGTTAAGAATCTGCCTGCCAATGCAGGGGATACGGGTTTGATCCCTGGTCCAGGAAGATCCCACATGCCACGGAGCAACTAAGCCCATGCACCACAACTACTGAGCCTGAGCTCTAGAGTCCGTGAGCCACAACTACTGAGCCCGTGTGCCACAACTACTGAAGCCCACACTCCTAGAGCCTGTGCTCCACAATAAGAGAAGCCACCTCAATGAGAAGCCCGCGCACCACAATGAAGAGTAGCCCCTGCTCGCCGCAACTAGAAAAAGCCCACGCGCAGCAATGAAGACACAACGAAGCCAAAAACAAATAAATAAATTTATTTTTAAAAAAAGAAATTTATCCATTTCATCTAAATTGTTAAATATATGGACATAAAGTTGTTCATAATAGTCCCTTATCCTTTTATTGACTATAGCAACCTCCTCTCTTTTAACCTTGATATTGGTAATCTGTCTTTTCTCCATTATGCTTGGTCAGTCAGGCTAAAGATGTATAAATTTTATTGATCTTTTCAAAGAATCAGGCTTTGATTTCATTCCTTTTTTCATTGCTTTTCTGATTTCTATTTCATTGATTGCATTTGGCTTAATTTGCTCTTTTTTTCTAGTTTCTGACGGTAAAAACTTAACAACTAATGTGAGACCTTTCTTCTTATCAAATATAAGTATTTGATGCTAAAAATTTCTCTCTAAACACTACTTCAGCTTCATTCTACAAATTTACATATATTGTTTTTATTTTCATCCAATTCAAAATTGAATGAATCTTGAACATTTCTTTCATTTCAAAAGGGAATAACTTAATCCTGTGGGGGGTTTTTGTTGTTGTTAACCTCTGGTTTATTTAGAAGTATACTGCTTAGCTTCCAAGTATTTGAGGATTTTCCAAATATCTTTCTGTCACCAATTTCTAGTTTAATTTCTTTATGGTGAGAACACAGACTTTGTATGATATCAATTATTTTAAACTTATTAAGGTTTATTTTATGGCCCAGAATACGGTTTATCTTGATGACTGCCTCATGTACACATGAAAAGAATTCTGTATTCTGCTGTTATCGGCTGAACCATTCCGTAAACATTCACTAGGTCCAGTTGAATGATAGTGCTGTTCAGGTCTTCTTCTCTTACCAAGTTTCTGTTTGTCTGTTCTATATTTTACTATGAGAGCAGTATTGAAATCTCTATTATACTGAATTTGTCTATTCCTTCCTTCAGCTTTATGAGTTTTTGCTTTTGGTCCTTTGAAGGTCAGTTGTTAGGTACACTCACAATTAGGATGGCTATGGCTTTTAGGTTAA